CAGGCGTTGTGGCGGGCACCTGTAGTCCCAGCTGCTTGGAAGGCAGCAGCAGGAGACTCACTTGAGCCCAGCAGTTGGAGGTTGCTGTGAGCTGTGACGCCACAGCACTCTACTGAGGGGCACAGCTTGAAGCTCTGTCTAAAAAAAAAAGAAGGGGTGGTGCCTGTGACTCAAAGGAGTAGGGCGCTGGCCCGATATGCCGGAGGTGGCAAGTTCAAATCCAGCCCCGGCCAAAAACTGCAAAAACAAACAAAACAAAAATTCATCAAGAAGATTTTGCTTAGTTTTTCTTTTTGCTATTCAAGTATCAGAATTACCCATGCAAAGGAGTTCAGACTCATTTACCTGTTAGAGAATGATAGAAAGGAGAAAGAAAATATATAATAACTGGAGCACTTAACTTTTCAAATAGGACTCTCTATAAGGGAACTCTGCAGGACATCACCTAGATAATCATACTCACCTTTCAACAGAAGTCACTACAAAATTTCCTTTTAGTGTTGTATCTATTTTCTTGGTAAAGTCCAACTTAATCAGAATATACAAGGAATAGGAAAAATGAGACATTTTGGTTATGACATACCACATGATTTTCAAAAGATAGGGATATTTTAATAATTAGCAACACTAAAAATTCCTGGGGTGATTCAAGAAGTTCATTGGGATCTTAGATCACTAGAGGCATCATTGTGAACATCAATTATCCCTGTACAGGAGGAAAATGTTTCTGATTATACACACTGATTTCCAATTCTGTGTCAATGACATTCCTAATATACAGTATACTTGTTACCTGTTTTTAAAGCTGAAGACTCGTTCTGTTCACCTGTCTGGGTAGTCTTTTGGAAAATGCTGACCTGAAAAAGTACAAAAAAGCACAGAAATAGATTTCTATAAATGCGATATTTTACTTTTTAGTCTTATCTCTATAGCAAATACTATTATAAGCTATTATAAGTTTAATTTGTCAAAATTGACATAATCAGGCTTGATGCCTGTGGCTTAAGCGGCTAAGGCGCCAGCCATGTACACCTAGGCTGGCGGGTTCAAATCCAGCCCGGGCCCTCCAAACAATGATGGCTGCAACCAAAAAATAGCCAGGTGTTGTGGCAGGCACCTGTAGTCCCAGCTACCTGGGAGGTGGAGGCAGGAGAATCGCTTAAGCCCAGGAGTTGGAGGTTGCTATGAGCTGTGATGCCATGGCACTCTACCTAGGGTGACAGCTTGAGATGCTGTCTCAAAAAAATAAATAAATAAAATTTAAAAAAATGACATAATCATACAAGGATGTCGTTCATGTGCGAGATCACACAGGAAAAGCAACAAACTGGATAGAACCCAGTATTGACAATATACACTAAAAAATTAAAAATATGAGTCAGGCACTGTGGCTCACACCTATAATCCCAGCACTTTGGGAGGCAGAGGTGAGTGGACTGCTTGAGCTCAGGAGTTCGAAACCGCCTAAGCCAGAGTGAGACCCTGTCTCTAAAAAATAGCTGGGTGTTGTGGTGAGGGCCTTAGTCCCAGCTAGTAGGGAGGCTGAGGGAAGAGAACTGCTTGAGCCCAAGAGTCTAAAGTTGCTGTGAGTTGCCATGGCACTCACACCCAGAATGACTGAGTGAGACTCTGTCTCCAAAAAAAATAAATAAATTAAAAATAAAAATATAAAATAAAATTGAAGGGCTATTTAGAAATTTATGCTAAAAAAAAAAAAAAAAGGTCCTCTTTGACATGGACCTTTAGTTAAGTAATGGACGTATACCTATGTAGATATGTATAAAACTACTCATGAGAAATTGTTCATAGGCTCGGCACCCATACTCATTGGTTAAGGCACCAGTCACATACACCGGGACTAATTGGCTTGAACCTGGCCCTAGGCCTGCTGAAACAACAATGACAACTATAATAAAAAATAGCCAGCATTGTGGTGGGCGCCTTTAGTCCCTCCCAGCTATTTCGGAGGTTAAGGCAAGAGAATCACTTAAGCCCAAGAGTTTGAGGTTGTTGTGAACTGTGATGCTATAGCACTCTACTAAGGGTGACATAGTGAGACTCTATCTCAAAAAAATAAAACACTGTACCCAGGATGACAGCTTGAGACTCTATCTCACAAACAAAAAGAAAAAAGAAAAAGAAATT